TGTTAAAATATTTTAGAATGGTTCTTATAACTATCAATTATATGATAATATACAACTTTTTTGTTGTTGTTCAGGAATAGAAAGTTAAAAAACAGTATATAAATTTTTATATGTAGTAGTAATATTAGACGCATTAGAGAGAATTAAAGAGCATATAAGAGAATTCTTTCCAAAGCATAAAAAAACTCAATTATTCAAAACGTTTGATAGGTAGTGTATATCTAATGCAATTTTGTTTCTCAAGTACATTTATCTTGTTTTAAGGATATTTTTCATAATTTTTCCTTTTATCATTTTTTTAATAAAAAATATATACAAATATTTTTGTAAGATATTTTTTTTCCTGGGAAACAGCTCAGATATACTAATTAAGAACCGTATTTATTATTATTATTTGCAGTGCATTCAAAAATAATAAAACTTTTATTTACATACAACATATGCGGCAGGGAGCCTAGTGAAGGGTAAAATGAGTGTTGCCCATCTCTTCTCCTGTCTTCTTGTCTGCACCACTAGAGTACATTAGCCGATGGTCTGGGTACATCACACTCTCCATTTTCTCCCTCTTTGTGTACTCTGATCTCTGTTTCCTGTAACAAGCATGCAATGCAATATCAGTGTCTGACTTAACCGCCCCCCTCCCTCCCCCCTGCGTTTCTCTTTTATTACACACTCATCCCCCTACTGTTTGGCCCTCAATTCTCTTCTCTACTTCCTCCCGTCCGTTTTCTCATTCCCTCCCTTCATGTTCTGTATGCTTCCTCTGTTGCTGCCCACGTTCAGCACCCCAGAGGATGTTTCGAATATTCTCGTTTTCAAAAATCAGACCCATATATAAAAATATGTGTTGAAGGCATCTGTATAGACGGTCTTCATAAAACCTGCTCATCAAAGCCTTGGTTTGCTGGTTGCCAAAATGTATGTTTTTTACCCTCCAATCAGTTTTTAAGTCAACATGAAATGGTGTAGCAACCCTTTTTAATTAGTACTGTAATATTTCAGAGTGAAACAAAAAATTAAATGTGAACTTATATATATATATATATTCATTTAAAATCAATAAAATAATTTAAAGTATATTCATTAAAATATATATAAAAAGAAATTGAATGTGAACTTGAAAAGTTTTAATGAAATTAAGTTAAATGTATTTACTTTTTATTTAAATATTTTACATTATAAATATAAAAATAAGAAAAGAAATAAAACAAACATTTATTACTTCACAATAATGTGCACTGATGAATCATTCACAAACAGACCAGGAATGTGCATTAAGAAAGTAATTGGGTTAGTTTTGATTTCATGTTGATTTTAAAACACATTTAGTTGTAATAATGAATATCCCAAAACTGCTTGTGAAGTTTAATCAGGTTTTATGAACAACCCTCTCTAAAGAGCTCTTATAATGCAGTTTGTGGGTTTTAACTCTATTTTACAGGCATGCTTTACGCAAGACTTATAAGCTCAGACTGCTCTGTCTTCAGACGTCATAGAATTTTATATATAGAATAATGCATGTAATGGGCTTTCAGAGGGGTGGAGCTTTCATTTTATAAACACTTCTAGCCAAAAAATTCGAGTTTCCAGTGTTGCACAGTATGGTTTCAGTCCTGGAGGTAGCCAAAAGTTCTCCCACTGTTTCAGCATAATGCGCTTTATGTGAAACCCTGGCAGACAGAGAAAGCACCACAGCTGTGCCCTTCCCATGCTGCCGAGCACCTGATATCAGCCATCTAAAATGTGTTTTTAAAATGACATCTGATGCACCTCAGTGCCTATTAAAAATAAAGATTTGAGATTTAAAGGGAGAGCTCACCCAAAAAATGACAATCATTGTTTACTCACCCTCATGTCATTCTAAACCTTTTCCCGTGAAACACAAAATTAGATGTTTAGCAGAATGTCTGGAAATTAATATATGACATATATTGCCCTGTAGCAAGATATATGATATTATGATATTGCTATGTTACCTATAAGGTGATATATAATTTTCTCATACGTGATGTAAGTTTATAACATATATAAAATCCCCATAGTGAATGTCCATATGTTAATACTATATGATGATTTTTTTATTTGGTATGTTATGCAGCAACCATATATGTGAACAGTACATTTTATTAAAACAACTTTATTAAAACATCATATATGCAAAAAATCTGTAGAATTTTTTTAATACATGTCCATCTTTTATATTTACTTGCTTTGACGTGCATTAACAGGTTTTAGGATGAATATACATGTACGTGACATATATGTCCAAAAATGTATTACACACACATAAACATACATATTCATATGGGCTAGAAATATACGTTAACATATTACAATATATTTCATATATGGATGTTTAATATATGTACATATATTATAGGCTATTTGCATATTGGGGTCCAAGCTGCTTTCTTCCATACAGTGGAAGTGAATGGGGACTGGGGCTGTCAAGCTCTGAAAAGGACAAAAAAGCACCATGAAAGCATCATAAAAGTCATTCATATGTCTTGTGCAATATTTTACAATAGCTTCCGATGTTAATATTCACTGAAAATCTTGCTTGACAGTCCCAATCCCCATTCATTTTCATTATTTGGAACTTGTAGCTTGGAATTAAAGCGTTAAACGTCTCCTTTTTGGTTCCATAGGAGAAATAAAATCATTCAGGTTTGCAGCAACATGAGGGTTAGTAAATAATGATGGAATATTCATTTTTTGGTGTACTGTCCCTTTAACTAAATAAATCTGTTTAGAAGTGACAAATATGACTGTTTACAACTATAACATGAAATGTAGACTGAAGTTAGAAAATGTTTTAGGCTGAATGAGTTAGTTTTGACATGCGGTTGTGTGTTTTGTATGTGTGTGTCTTTGTGTTCAATGGTCGTCGTGTACATGTGTGTTTGTCTCTGTGTGCGTCTGTGCATATGTGTGTGCTTGTCCATGGCTCTCGTTCATTCAGAGGCTGAGGAGCTGTACCAAAAACGTGTGCTGACGATAACGGGCATCTGCGTGGCACTGCTGGTGGTTGGCATCGTGTGTGTGGTGGCATACTGCAAAACCAAGTAAGCTCCGGGAACTCTAGCGATCGCCAGAAAGAGCTGTGCACATTCACACATTAAATTAAAAAGCATACTAAAAAAAAACTACACCCTTTGGGTGGTATAAGCAAAATTCGCTTTGTGAGGAAATTTTATATCACTATATCTTTTTATAATACTTGTGTTCAAAAGTTTGGGGTCTTTTTTTTTATTAAATTAATAATTTTATTCAGCAAGGATGCATTACACTGATCAAATGTGACATTAATGACATTTATAAAATTAGAAAAGATTTATATTTCAAATAAATGCTGTTTTTTTTTTTTACTTTTCTATTCATCAAAGAATTCTGACAAAATTAACAGGGTTTCCATAAAAAATGCTAAGCAGCACAACCATTTTCAGCACTTACAATACGAAATACTTCTTGAGCAGCAAATCAGCAGAATGATTTTTTTAGAATGATTTCTGAAGGATCATGTGACACTGAAGACTGGAGTAATGATTCTGAAAATTTAGCTTTGCATCACAGGAATAAATTACATTTTTAAATATATTTAAGTAGAAAATCATTATTTTAAATTGCAATAATATTTGACAATATCATTATTTTTTTACTGTATTTTTGATCAAATAAATGTAGCCTTGGTGAGCATAAGATACCCCAAACTTTTGAACAGTAGTGTACAATGTACATACATTGCAGATATATAAATTATTGTATTTATTTAAAAAGAAAATAAGCAATTTAGCTGGAAATTCAACAACAAGAATAAATCAAACCAAATAAAATGTAATTATATGACCATGGCAATGCCTATTTTTCAATACTTCAAAGAATTAATTATTGTTACAATTATTATAATGAATTAATTTTATATTTGCTACTGGATACAAACTAAATGATAATATTATTCCTATTATTAAAACAATATATATTGTATGTTTCACTTTAGTGATCAGCAGGTTAGTACAGTACATCTTATCTGTAGACACTTGGTCATTTCCTGTTTTACATGTTAGAGTATTTGCTGTCATTGTATAAATCACAGATCAGATTTGATATTGGATCTTTTTTCAGGAAACAAAGGAAGAAGATGCATAACCACCTGCACCAGAACATGTGTGCGGAGCATCCGAACCGCATGCTGGCCAACGGACCCAACCATCCCGGCCCCGGTCCTGAGGAAATCCCCATGGTGGATGTGAGTTTGCCTGCCTCTCATTTCCTGTATGCTGATATATCTTTTGCATATTCTGAAGATTTAGTCATTGAAGGCATGATAAAGCATACAAGTTAAATAAGTGTTCACAGGCAGATTGCCTTAGAAAGCATTTAATGTTGCTTTTGGTACTTTTGGTGTAAAACATAGATTTGGGTTTGTTTGTTTGTTTGATTAGATTGAAAGTTCTTAAAGTCCGGTATTTCTGAAAAGGGTTCAGAATTATGTGAACTGCCGTGTGGTTTCTTCTGGATGTTACAGCAATTCAGAAGTAAATTGCAATTGATTACATTATTGTGATAAACTGCTTCCTGTGGTGCACACATCGATGACTAAGCATTCTTCAAATGTAATTAAATTTAGGTTAGGACTCAAGTGTGAAAACGACACAATCTCATGCTACTATTTATATTGCAGTATATATCTAAGAATGTCCCAGCAACTGAGCGAGTAGTACGACACGGAACAGAGACATCAGGCAATTTCTCGGGCAGCCGAATGTCGTCACGATCCCACCACACCTCCACAGCTTCTCACGCTTCCAGTCACCGGTACTGACTCTTCCCTGACTGATTCATCTGCCAATATATCCATATATAGATCCTTGACTTGATATATCCTCTGTCCATCTGTCTATTTAGCTGTTCATTTACTAACCTAACTAGCCAAAACTATTTACATATATCTATTTTTCCATCAGACCCCAAATATTTTTCCAGTCTCATATATACGTATATTTACATCTATCTATCTATCTATCTATCTATCTCATTGTAAATCATTGTAATATGCTGATTTGCTGTTAAAATAGAAAAGTTATTTCTTATTATTAATGTTAAAAACAGTTGATTAATATTTTTGTGAAAAAAAAAATTGTGAAGAACAATTTTTTCATATACTTTGATCAAAGAGTTCAAAAAGAGAGATATTCGACTTTTTTTTATTAAAATGTCTTTACTGCCAATTTATTGCAACCTGAATAAAGGTAAAAATGCCTTTAAAATAAAAATTCTTATCTTTTTAAATACTTTTTTTTTTTATATATATAGCTTTTAAAAAATATATTTATTTTTTTTGCATTTTTCTCACATATTTTCTACTTCCCTTTGTGTTGTTCCCGCCTGTCAGGCACGAGGAGCGCACATGGAGTATGGAGCGGACGGACAGCATACATTCTGACTGCCAGTCGGGGGCACTCTCTTCCTCTGTTGGCACCAGTAAATGCAGCAGCCCAGCGTGTATGGAGGCTCGTGCCCGCCGAGCAGCATACTGTGGGTATCCTGACACTACACAGTGCCCCCTACAGTACGGAGACTCTTACGACTCCCTGCGGGACTCACCTCACAGTGACAGGTGAGTGAAAAAGGAAACGACAGCAGCAGATAAGAAGTGTTCACCTTCACAGATAAAAGACACTGAGTATATTTGTGGTCAGATGAAAGCATGCTGATTGTCCTGTTGGTTAAATAAGTTTGTAAGCATTATTTGATCAGGAATTTGATATTTGGTGTTGAACCATAGCACAATATAAGCAGATCTCAGATATGTTCAGTAGCGTTGACAGTAGCTGAACTGTTTGTTGCTTTGGATAAAAGCATCTGCTAAATGATTAAATGTACCTCCTTTCAAAACATTTTTCCTATTTCTTTCCAACAGGTAGCAGTGTAGTGTAACAAAACACTACTGCTCTGCTTTTTCTACACTTGTCTTCTCTCTCTAAAATAGAAGTCAGATTCATTTTCATGGATTGTTTTGGTTGAATGGTTGATGTAAACAGGCTGATTAAGTAAATCGCTCACAGATTGCAATTTTATTTTTGTAGGAAAATATTTAGTTAAAAGCTTTTGCTATATAAAATAATGCATTATTGCATTTTTTTTCAACTGTTTTCTAGGATTTTTTTGTATTTAGTGTAATTTAGATTTAATGTCAATATAATTGGTTGATTCATCATAAATCATTGATTCAAATACTATTTTTTGTTCCCTATAAATATTGCTCTGAATGCGCTAATATATAATTCATATAAATTATACCATGCAGCAGACATGCACTACCGTTCAAATGTTTGAGGTCAATAAGATTTTTTTAAAGAAATTAAAACTTTTTTAGCAAGGATGCATTAAATTGATCGAAAATGACAGTAAAGACACTTGTAATGTTATAAAAGATTTCTATTTCAAATAAATGCTGTTCTTTTGAACATTATATTCATCAAAGAATCCTGAAAAGAAATGTATCACCGTTTCTAAAAAATACCAAGCAGCACAGCTTTTTTCAACATTGATAATAACAAGAAATACAAAAGATTTCTATCTAAATTTTTAAACTTTTTATTTATAAAAGTATTTTAAAAATCATGTTTATCACATATTGAGCAACACAGTTGTTTTCAACTTTAATTATAAGAAATATTTCTTAAGCAGCAAATCAGCATATAAGAATAATTTCTGAAGGATCATGTGACACTGAAGACTGGAGAGAAAATTTTCCAGCTTTGGCATCACAGGAATACATTACATTTTACAATATACTCAAAAAGTAAACTTATTTTAAACTGTAAAAATATTTCACAATATTACTGATTTCACTGGAATAATTTTGACCAGATAAATGCAGTTTTGCTGAGCATAAGAGACTTCTCACTGACCTCAAATTTTTAACGGTAGTGTGTATTTAAAAGATTTTCCCGTCCCATCTCTCACCCCATGTTTTTCCGTATCTTTGCAGGTACGTGTCTGCTCTGACCACACCGGCGCGTCTATCTCCGGTGGACTTTCACTCCTCACTGCCCCCGCAGGTGCCTACCTTTCAGATCACCACGCCCAACGCCAGCCACGCCCTCTCCCTGCCACCCGCCGCTTCGGCCATCGCCATGGCAGCCTACTCGCCCGACGACGATCAGCCCCTCCTGCACCGCTACCGACGATCCCGACGCCCGTATTACGCGGCAGAGAGCACGGGCTCCCTTCCGTCCAGCCCGTACCGCTTCGTGGACGACGAGGATTACGAGACCACGCAGGAGTACATGTCCTCCCGAGAGCAGCCGAAGAAGAGCAGCAGCGGCCGCCGTTGGCACAGGAGGTCGCGGGTCAACGGCCACGTGTCGCAGCGCACGCCGGGCCCCAGGAACTACAGCTCTCAAAGCTGCCTGTCAGACAGCGAGTGGGAGGACGATGAAGTCGGCGACCTCGGCCACGGCGAGAGCACGCCGTTTCTCAGTATCCAGAACATGAACGCCACCGAACCGGCCACCATCTACCGACCCAACGACACGCGGACTTTCACCAACATGGGACGCTCGGGCTCCCGTGGAAACGTGCAGGCCAACAAACTGTCGCAGTCACGGTCCAGACCGGACAATGCACCCCTTTAAAAAAGAACGACGAGAGCAAGGACGAACGAACTTGCGTAGGCGTGAAAAACAAATGATATGCTATAGACCTGCACCTATGAGAAATATTTTTTATTTTATATAACAGACAGATATTCTAAACAAATGAAATATTTATTTTCATTTCAGCAAAAATTGTCTACTAGCTAGCAGCAAAGACTTTTTTTATAGGGAGAAAACTATTTATATGTAATTCCTTTTTTTGATTTACAGCATTACGAAGAAGAATTACGTGCCAATTTTTTCACGAGTTAGAAATAGAATAATATTGTGGTGCCTTTTGCTGTTTGCCGACGAGGGAGGTTCAGTTGAATTTTTGTAGCCTTTCTTAAAAACAGACTCTTGGGTTTTATAGACATGTTTTTCTTTTTTTTTTCTTCGTTCGTTTGTTCAGGATCTCCCCATTTGAACTGTGATATTATTCAGACACCATGCAATATCGAATCACTTCTGTGTAAGGTGTTTGTTTACATGACTAGGATTCACGCGCACACATAACCGACGTTAAATTGCATCGGATGCCGATTCGTTCGCGCATCTGAGTGCCGTTTGCGTTCGTCTTTGGTTTCTACGTTCGACGTTTTCCTTTCTCTCAACTGGTTGTCGCATATTGTTTCCAGTGAAACAGAGGTACGCAGGAGTTCACAGGGCATGACGCTGGGTCGCAGAACCGGCCCTGGTGTTCAGGGTTTTCAAAACGGTGGTCTGTGCGTCCAATGAATGTGTTTACACTTCTGTCCGTGTGCGTGAGAGTATCGTTGAACCTCAGTGTATACGCACGTGTCTTTGTGTACGCAGTTTCGTGCGAGAACGCGTTTCGTTCGTGCGTTCGCGTTGTGTTCGTCTTCAGGTTAGCATTTCGAGCGCGTGTGCGTGTTGTGAGTTTCGACGTGCACCTGTGTGTGTATACGTATGCTTGTACTCTTTAGGATGTTGGCTTTGTCGAAAGGGAGCTCTGGGTTAACGCTAAAGGGTTAAACCGGACCCCCTAGTGGTGACACGAGCTCATTGCACTGTAACCTTCCTTCCTTGTGTAGTCATTGGCCTGCGGAGGAACCAATCCAGCCTGATTCTAGCCTACACGGACCTACATCTCTCTCCCACACGTTCCCATTCCTATGCCAGCAGCTTTAAGCCGCACTGTGTCTCAGGACTTTTCATCGAAAACTGCATTGCCCATAAAACAGATCCATTACTGCCCGTCGTGTCTGCGTCATGCTGGAAAGACAATGAAGAACGATACGACCAGATGTGTTTATCTGCGAATGTCATCTCCATGTTTTGTTGGCTTTCCTTCGTTTTGTTTCAGTGGGGTCGTTCCCAGTCCACGCTCTCTTTTTTTGACACATCTGTATGCAAGTTGGAGACGTGCTCAAAACAATGCGTGTTCGGCTACTAGACGTGCTACTTTAGGTGGATTCTAAAGTGTAAACCCCTACTTCCAGAGCCCAGCAACCTACAACTACATTAGAAAAGACAAACCCGCCACCCACACACTTACACTTAGACACACATGCAGATGCACACACTTACACACACACACACACATATATACACATGCTCAAGATTCATTCTGTGTGCACAGTCATTTATAGCACCGCTCGTCTCACAGATTGATTTTCTTCCTGTCTTTCTCTCTCTGTTTCTTCTGTTCTTCCTCTCCGCCTGTGAAGGCGTCCCTCCCTCTGCATGTTCTAGTGGTTCAGATAGATGGGTGCATGGTAACCGCAGCAACTGAGTCATATTCACACGGTGAAAGTGTAGTTTTCATTTGACATTCAGCAATAAATCCCCTTTTTTCATGTTCATCCTTGACTTGGAATATGCTAGAAATTTTTGCAAGTTTTCTCAAAAAATAGTACTTGTAAAAAAATAAAATAAAATCAAACCACTTGTTCATATGGAAAAAAAATAAATCTTAATTCCTACCATTTTAAAAAATGAATTCATCAGGATGTATGTCTTTCTTGGTGTGATATATATGTCTTGATAATAAGAAAATGTTTTCAGGGGAACAATTTATTCTTTTTTCTTTTGACAGAACTTTGAGTTGTATCAAGGATGCAACCAAATGTTTGATTTTAGTGGGGACTGGAGGTAAAAACTTGACAACTGGTCTTTGAAAAACTTATATTGATCAACAACCCATTTTAATATTAGACGATATACGTCCTCCTCTGTCTCTATGGTGGGTACAGGTCTGGATAATATTTTGAGGAATCAAATTTTCCATGAATTTTAGAGATAAAAGTGCTTAAAGTACTGTGAAGTCCTCAGTTCAAAAAGAGCATTTATTGAAACTAATTTGCAAAAACATTTGACATCAGATGAATTTATTGAACACAAGTAAAGAATACACTTACATGAAGTTATTTGTTTATTTTGAATACGTGCCCTCTAGCGGCGAAAATTACATATTGTGCCTTTAAGGCCACATTAGGGAACATTAGTTACTGCATTAACTAAAGTTAACTATCAATGAGCAAAACATTTGTTGGAGTTTTTATGAATCTTTGTTAACATTCATTAACTGTTTATTGTTAATGTTACCTCAATTACATTATATAATGTTAGCAAATACAACTTTTGATTTTAATGTATTAGTAAATGTTGAAATTAACATTAAGTAAGGTTAATAAACACTTTAGAAGTATTTTTCATTGTTAGTTCATTTTAACTATGATGCAGTTAACTAATGGCAATTAATGTGAACTTATTACCTAAGGAATGTGAATTTACTGTTAAAAACATATTGGTTGGTTTGTTTTGTTACAAGACGTTTCCACATATTCCACTTAATATCTTTGTCTTTTAGTTTCCGCGCGTACATTGTGGGAATTACCATGTGAATGACGCGAAATTCATCATAAAATGCAAAACCAGACAACGTGGTAAGTTTAAAGCGATTTAGTAGTTTAGTAATTGCGGTTTTCTTTTCATTTCGTTGTTGGAATAATAAAATAATCACAAAGAGAAAAAAAAACGATATCTGCTGTGCTTAGCTTTTTAGAGTAGTCTCACCTTATGAGTTGTTTCGTCAGTATAGTTTTAAATTAAAGTGTTTTTTATTTAAATAATTTTAAAACTTAAGTACTTTTATAATAAACTTTATTATTATAAATATTATTAAGTAGGCCAGCTATAGGTTACTACATTTTATGCTAAATAATTTTATGTAAATGTATGAATTTATGTAAATGTAAAAAATATAATATGCTCTAACAAAAACGTACCATTTGTAAGGATAAAAGAAACGCAGATTGGAGTCAGATTAGATAATAAAATGGAGTCAGATTTGAGTTAAACCTAAAGTGAATAACTTTGCGCGCTGAAAAGACCGAACAAGGCAGAAACCTTCATCCACCACTGGGTACCTTCATTGGGCCAAGTGCGTGGACCTTACACATTCCATTTTGGTGAAAATTAGGGTTACGATTGGGGAATTTTTGAAGATTTTTGTCTTTGTCTAAATAATCTGTAACTACACCAGTGAGTGACGCCTGTCACTGGTGTAATAGTCTAAGTCAGCGGTGGCGAACTCCGGTCCTGGAGAGCCCTGCAGAGTACAGCTTCAACCCTAATTAAAACTCACCTGCCTGTAGCTTTCTAGTAACCCTTCAGACCTTGATTAGCTTATTCAGGTGTGTTTGATTAGGGTTGAAGCAAAACTCTGCAGGGCTGCTGCTCTCCAGGACCGACGTTCGCCACCCCTGTGCTATATCATGAAACATGGGGCACCCCATGGTGCACATGTTGTTCATTCTGTGCTGCCGGCACACTTTACCTCCAGTGGTCTCAAACACTCCAGAGATCTGGCTCCTCATCCTGCGAAATCCTACTGGAGAAGCAAGGTAGACAGTGGCGCTCTGTGGAACATCATCCAGTACATGACGGATCGCCAATATAACCCCATCCTAAGGCCTCATCTGGCTGAAAACCCATCCAGTGTTTCTTACAAAACAGAAATGTCCAAAAGGACTGGAGATAGATGTTTTCCAAATTATGAGATTAACAATACAATGCCAGATTACGCCAAACTACCAATCCAGATGATGAATTTTGTGACCACCATGCACTGTCGAGACTATCTACTGATCATAGATCCTTTAGATGTTTGTGATGCTCAAGCAAAGAAAGGGGCACCAACATTGCTCATGGCCATCAAAACTCAGACTGCAAACTTTGAGAACAGGGAAGCCATTCGGGAAACATGGGGAAATATAAAAACACTAGGTGGACGGCAAAGGCTCGTCCGCAGGGTCTTCCTTCTGGGGAAGTCCAAAGACTTGCATATTGAAGAGAAATTGCATTTAGAGAGTGAAAAATATGGTGATATCATCCAGTGGGACTTCGTGGACACCTTCTTCAACCTCACCTTGAAGGACGTGCTGTTCTGGGACTGGTTCTCAAGGCGATGCCCGCATGCCCGCTTCATTTTTAAGGGCGATGATGATGTATTTGTGAGGACACCTGCTGTCCTAGACTATCTGCTGGCTGAGGAGGCAGACGGAAGGTCCTCAAATGGATCCAGGCAGGCAAATAAAATAGGAGACGTTTGTTGTGGGGGACGTGATAAGCAATGCAGCACCTATACGCTCTAATGGGACTAAGTACTACATCCCGGAGAGTTTCTATAAAGGGCTGTACCCATCATACCCTGGTGGAGGAGGGGTGCTTTACTCTGGTTCTCTGGCACATAGGCTTTTGGTGGTGTCGCAAAGGGTTCATCTGTTCCCCATTGATGATGTCTACCTGGGCATGTGCCTTCAGAGACTTGGAGTTTACCCTATCGACCACCCTGCCTTCCTCACCTTTGACTTCCCGAAAGATGAGCCCAAGGAACCCTGTGCGAATCACATCATCCTCCTGGTGCACAAGCGAAGCCCTGCTGAGATGTTCCAACTTTGGAATGAAACGTCGACACCCAGCCCTGAATGCAGATATGCAACGCTATTAGTCAAACTTAGACCTGATTGAGCTCAGACTGAACTTTTTCTTATGGCGCTTTTCCACTGCGTGGTACGACTCGGCTCAGTACGGCACAGCACGGTTCGGTTTGCATGTCCACTGCAGTTCAGTACCGCTTTAGAGTGGGATTATTCACATGTCGTTATAGTTGCGCCGCCTCTACTACCACGACTCCTAAAAAAAACGTTTTCATTCCGCGTCGCCCTATCAAGCTCTCGCTGGATCCGCTCCTCTGCTATCAACGAGAGGAACGTCTGTTCTTCCGCAACAGACAACAAAACTTTTTGGTTGTTAAAAAAAGGTGCGCTTGTTCAAAACAGTTGCGTTCGATCCTTCGCTGGCTGTGCTGATTTAAATGTAGCGGTTCTTTTGTGTTTGTGTCACAAGTTCAGTGACGCAGGTAGTGACGATTCTCTCCGGCCAATCCGTGATCAGCAGAGTTTACACGTCATGTTTTGGTAACAGTACGGTTCACTTGGAACCCCAACCAAATGTGAATTTACTGTTAAAAACATATTGGTTGGTTTGTTTTGTTACAAGACGTTTCCACATATTCATGCAGTGGAAAAGCGCCATTAGTTAAAGCAAGTTCTCATTCTTACCGAACACTTGAAAACTGGTGTTATGCATTGCAAGGTATTTTGTAAAAATTTGTTTTGAATATTCTTTACTTTCACATTTTGCTGCAATAACTGCCTCAAGGTCTTATAAACAGGGATTCTGCAGGTTTTGTGATGGTAAATGTAAGACTTTTTAAAGACCTTTTTAAGACCAAGTAAAGAAAATTTAAGGAATAAACTGAAGGGAACACTGTGTCAATATGGATCACACAAAAGAGTTGTATAAGAAACACTTGAACATTTAAAATACAACTGATCTAGAGTATTTAAATAGTCATAACTTTTATTGTACCTGCAAAAAAAGTGATATTCTTCCTCAGCTTTTGTCGTTTTCAAGTATCTTGTCTAAAATCTTGTTTTAAGCATAATCGTACTTAATTTTGTTAAATTTGTCCGAAAACAAAATTTCATATCTTCATTTTGCACCTCAAGTAGAATAATCTCGATTAAAGTATGTTTCGATATTTGCATTGGGGTAAAAAAAAAAAAAAAAAAGGGACAATCACTGCGAAAAATATTATTATTTTACTTTGCGGTGCATGCCACATTTAATGCCTTAACTTTATGCTTTTAAGACTTTGTTTCAAATGATGACCCTTTTAGGGCTTTAATTTGATTTGTGGAAGTGTGAATTAAGACTTTTTAAGACCCACAGAAACCCTGATTACAATGAAAATGAGAAAAATTTATTTCATGCTGACTTTGTCTTAGTTATGATTTTAAATCTGACGTTCAGTGAGTTAATGTAAATGTACTACTTTGAGTATTAAACCATTTAAAACTTGTGGGCAAAACGACAAGTGTACAAAAAGTTTATTACAACACCGTATTTACAAGAATTATAATATACAATGTTTCTTTTAATCAAACAAAATGTGTTTGAGATTTCAAACAAATTAAACTAAAGCAGGAACTTCTGAAAGCCATCAGAGAGAAATCATTCAATGCAAAATTAGCTTAGTCAGGCATCAGTGTAGTTTTCCAGGTTTTTAAGCCCAATTAAGATTCATATATAACTGTTCTTGGTCATGCTGTGGTGGGAGCACCTTCCAGTATCATTTGCAGTTTTATGCTCTTCCTTCATCTTCTTCCTCCTCTTCATTATCGTCACCTTCATCATCCTCATCTTCATCAGTCTCTTCCTCACTCTCACTGTAGAGAACTGTGGCACGATTGGTGTTTACAAAAAGATCGCTGTCATCATCCTCAAGAGTCGCTGTCACCCTCCTCCTCTGTTTTTCTTTCACTTCTTTCTTTCGGTGTTCCCTCGTTCCTCTCACTGGATGTGCAATCCTCCTGGAATCCTTCTGGCCTGTGTGAAGTGTGAAAATGCTGTTTACTACACACATTTCAATTTTGTTTTCTTGAAAAACAATCAAACAACATATTTCAGGATTAGGTTTAAAGGGATAGTTTACACAAACATTTTAGAAACTCACACGGGTTTGAAACAACTTGGGGGTGTCAAATATTCAATTCAAATATTAAAAAAAGACATGGCCTTACCATACACCAAGTTTTCTCAGGTACTGAATATGGTCCCTGTAAAGTATGAAGCTTATTTCTCCTTTCACCTTCCCTCCTTCTTTAATGGGATCAACAATGACAAAGTCTCCTAACAAACAGAAAGACCATGAAAACCTTTTAGTGTCTTTAAAAACAGAATCGTTATTCATCCATGAAAGTTAAAACAAACTGACCTCGTTTGATCCAGATGTTCTTGCGGAATTTAGTAGGCATGCTGACAAGGAAGCGCTCGCCGCTGCCAGTCACAGCTTCATGGAGGTTATTGCCATTACTTCCCAAGACCTGTGATGTGAAGGAGGTGTAGAATTATTAGTATCATGGTATAATGAGAATACGGAGTTCTCAAAGCCGTACAGAACCCAAAAACTGTAACTGTACCCTCATGATATGCTGGTCTTCAGTGGGTGTGACATAGTCCTCCAGAACTTCTTTGACTACGTGCTTGCGTTTGGTTGCCTTTGACATGGTGGATATAAACCTCTGGCGATTCTGTCACCTGAATAAAGAAAAATATTTTTGTTTGAGAAATGGAGTTAAGAGGCGAGCATGTGTGAAAACGCATGTGGACCACAAAGAATAAAGCGGCTCTCAGGGCAAACAGTTTTATACGCTTTGAAATACATCAACATGCACACAAACCACATCTTGGCACCTTGCTATAACATACATAACTGGAAACCAGTGGCAAGTATAGTATGATCATTATAAACGCTATAAGATAATATATTTTAAAAAGCAAGTCATTTGACATACGATTACGTAACTGTACTGTTTACAATATTACAGCATGGCATAGAAACATGTGGCCTTCATCATGCTGTGTCGGTCTGGACAAATAAAAACCCTGAATGTCTAGATTTATTTAAATAGTAAAAGCGCAAATTTGTCATAGTCACCTACCTAGAAACTGTATATGAAACTCTGGATGTACTCTGAGTTTATTTACTAATGGCATCGAGATGAATTGCTAGCGTTTACTCGAGTCCTTTTCGCAAAAGTGTGAAGCGAAACGCGAGTGATGCAACTGGATTTAAAAATTACAAAATAAAAGCCACACGAACACAGTTGAGGGTAAGAGGATTGTTAACAGTAAAATGTCTATAAATGAGCTGTTTAAACCATTTAATAATAATAATAATAATAATAGGATCTCTTTAGGTCTTTTGGATCGCTTCAGGTCTAAAAACTTTTATTTTGAAATGTCATTTTCACGGTTCACGTTTTTAAAACAACCACAGCAAGCCAGGCTAATAAAACGCGTTAGAATATGTGATGAGAGAAACAGATAGACATTGAAATAATACGATAATCAGGGCGCAATTTTTCATTTGGATGCAGTGAACAGTCATCTTAAAGATGTGGAGATTGAAAACCCTCCGTCACAAAGCAAGTGGATCTGCCAATAATTTGGAGGAGTTCAAACACAAGAGAAGAGAGTTTGAGAAAAGTGTGTTTCATCTCTCAATATATTTTGTTGTCCGCTGTTTTGATAACACTAGGAGGCGCTGTTGCTCAAGGAAACCTGGAGGGTGGAATAGAGTTGGTAAGTCATTACAGCACAACATTTTATACCCACATCACAGACATACTGCACATCTGGGTTAGGATGAGAGTAATTGTAAATTATTGTGTTCACTGAATAGAAACACCACCTATATATAATTCAATTATCAATGCTTTTATAATCAGTGTTTACTATTACATAATTATTTAGAATTTCACAAAATAAGTCATATTTAATCTTAAAATTGAACACAGAAAATGTTGCATATATATATATGTGATGATGATGTATTTGTGAGGACACCTGCTGTCCTAGACTATCTGCTGGCTGAAGCGGCAAACAGAAGCTTCTCACATGGATCCAGGCAGGCAAATAAAATGGAGACGTTTGTTGTGGGGGACGTGATAAGTAGTGCCACACCTATACGCTCTAATGGGACTAAGTACTACATCCCGGAGAGTTTCTATAAAGGGTGGTACCCGTCATACCCTGGTGGAGGAGGGGTGATTTACTCTGGTTCTCTGGCACATAGGCTTTTGGAGGTGTCACAGAAGGTTCATCTGTTCCCCATTGATGACGTCTACCTGGGTATGTGTCTTCAGAGACTGGGAGTTTACCCTATCCACCACCCTGCCTTCCTCACCTTTGACTTCCCCAAAGATGAGCCCAAGGAACCCTGTGCGAATCACACCATCCTGCTGGTGCACAAGCGAAGCCCTGCTGAGATGTTCCAACTGTGGACTGAAACGTCTACACCCAGCCCTGAATGCAGAAATACAATGCTGAGAGTCAAGCCTAGACCTGACTGAGATCAGCAGACTGAAATTTTTTTGTTGGTAAAGCAAGTTCTCATTCTTACTGAACACTTGAAAACTGATGTTATGCATTGTGAGGTATTTTGTATAAATTTTAGTTTGGAATATTTTTGACTTTCACATTTTGCTTCAATAACTGCCTAAAGGTTTTCTAAACAGGCTTTCTGCAGGTTTTATGATGGTAACTTTAAGACCATGTAAAGAAAATGTAAGGAATTAATTGAAGGGAACACAATGTCAATGTTTTCAAAATCCAAATGTCTAGGGAGCACACAGTGAGTTGTATTAACAACACTTGAACGTTTAAAAATACAGCTTTCAACAGATCTATACCTCTGCTCCCAACAACTAGAGTATTTAAATAGTCAGAACTTTTATGGTACCTGCAAAAAAGTGATGTTCTTCCTCAGTTTTATGTCTTGTTTAGAAGTACAAATGTCTAAAAATCTAAATCTTGTCTAAAATCTTGTTTTAAGCATTATCACACTTAATTTTGTTAGATCTGTCAGAAAAAAATGGCTTAATATCTTCATTTTGCATCGAAAGTAGAATAATCTTGATTTAAGTATGTTTAGATATTTGCACTGGCTTAAAAAAAGGTGTACAAAAGTGTACAAAAAGTTTATTACAACACCGTATTTACAAGAATTATAATATACAATGTTTCTTTTAATAAAACAAAATGAGTTCGAGACTTGAAACAAATGAAACAGGCAGAAACTTCTGAAAGCCATCACAGAGATATCATTCAATGCAATAATAGCTCAGTCTCAGGCACCAGTATAGTTTTCCAGGTTTTTAAGTCCAATTAAAGTTCATAGAAAACTGTTCTTGGTCATACTGTGGTGGAAGCATCTTCCAGTATCATGCAGTTTTTAATGCTCTTCTTTCATCATCATCTTCCTCCTCTTCATCATCACCACCATCATCATTGTCGCCCTCCTCATCTTCATCAGTCTCTTCCTCACTCTCACTGTAGAGAACTGTGGCACGATTGGTGTTTACAAAAAGATCGCTGTCATCATCCTCAGAGTCGCTGTCACCCTCCTCCTCTGTTTTTCTTTCACTTCTTTCTTTCGGTGTTCCCTCGTTCCTCTCACTGGATGTGCAATCCTCCTGGAATCCTTCTGGCCTGTGTGAAGTGTGAAAATGCTGTTTACTACACACATTTCAATTTTGTTTTCTTGAAAAACAATCAAACAACATATTTCAGGATTAGGTTTAAAGGGATAGTTTACACAAACATTTTAGAAACTCACACAGGTTTGAAACAACTTGGGGGTGTCAAATATTCAATTCAAATATTAAAAAAAGACATGGCCTTACCATACACCAAGTTTTCTCAGGTACTGAATATGGTCCCTGTAAAGTATGAAGCTTATTTCTCCTTTCACCTTCCCTCCTTCTTTAATGGGATCAACAATGACAAAGTCTCCTAACAAACAGAAAGACCATGAAAACCTTTTAGTGTCTTTAAAAACAGAATCGTTATTCATCCATGAAAGTTAAAACAAACTGACCTCGTTTGATCCAGATGTTCTTGCGGAATTTAGTAGGCATGCTGACAAGGAAGCGCTCGCCGCTGCCAGTCACAGCTTCATGGAGGTTATTGCCATTACTTCCCAAGACCTGTGATGTGAAGGAGGTGTAGAATTATTAGTATCATGGTATAATGAGAATACGGAGTTCTCAAAGCCGTACAGAACCCAAAAACTGTAACTGTACCCTCATGATATGCTGGTCTTCAGTGGGTGTGACATAGTCCTCCAGAACTTCTTTGACTACGTGCTTGCGTTTGGTTGCCTTTGACATGGTGGATATAAACCTCTGGCGATTCTGTCACCTGAATAAAGAAAAATATTTTTGTTTGAGAAATGGAGTTAAGAGGCGAGCATGTGTGAAAACGCATGTGGACCACAAAGAATAAAGCGGCTCTCAGGGCAAACAGTTTTATACGCTTTGAAATACATCAACATGCACACAAACCACATCTTGGCACCTTGCTATAACATACATAACTGGAAACCAGTGGCCAGTATAGTATGATCATTATAAACGCTATAAGATAATATATTTTAAAAAGCAAGTCATTTGACATACGATTACGTAACTGTACTGTTTACAATATTACAGCATGGCATAGAAACATGTGGCCTTCATCATGCTGTGTCGGTCTGGACAAATAAAAACCCTGAATGTCTAGATTTATTTAAATAGTAAAAGCGCAAATTTGTCATAGTCACCTACCTAGAAACTGTATATGAAACTCTGGATGTACTCTGAGTTTATTTACTAATGGCATCGAGATGAATTGCTAGCGTTTACTCGAGTCCTTTTCGCAAAAGTGTGAAGCGAAACGCGAGTGATGCAACTGGATTTAAAAATTACAAAATAAAAGCCACACGAACACAGTTGAGGGTAAGAGGATTGTTAACAGTAAAATGTCTATAAATGAGCTGTTTAAACCATTTAATAATAATAATAATAATAATAGGATCTCTTTAGGTCTTTTGGATCGCTTCAGGTCTAAAAACTTTTATTTTGAAATGTCATTTTCACGGTTCACGTTTTTAAAACAACCACAGCAAGCCAGGCTAATAAAACGCGTTAGAATATGTGATGAGAGAAACAGATAGACATTGAAATAATACGATAATCAGGGCGCAATTTTTCATTTGGATGCAGTGAACAGTCATCTTAAAGATGTGGAGATTGAAACCCCTCCGTCACAAAGCAAGTGGATCTGCCAATAATTTGGAGGAGTTCAAACACAAGAGAAGAGAGTTTGAGAAAAGTGTGTTTCATCTCTCAATATATTTTGTTGTCCGCTGTTTTGATAACACTAGGAGGCGCTGTTGCTCAAGGAAACCTGGAGGGTGGAATAGAGTTGGTAAGTCATTACAGCACAACATTTTATACCCACATCACAGACATACTGCACATCTGGGTTAGGATGAGAGTAATTGTAAATTATTGTGTTCACTGAATAGAAACACCACCTATATATAATTCAATTATCAATGCTTTTATAATCAGTGTTTACTATTACATAATTATTTAGAATTTCACAAAATAAGTCATATTTAATCTTAAAATTGAACACAGAAAATGTTGCATATATATATATATTATTAAAAAATATAAAATAAATACATAATTTTTATATATATATATATATATAATATGTATGTGTACTGTGTATATTTATTATGTATATATAAATACACACACATACAGTATATATTTTGAAAATATTTACATGTATATACATCTTATATTTTATAATATATATAAATATATTTAATATATAAACATAACATATTTTTAATAAATATATACATGTATGTGTTTGTATTTATATATACATAATATACACAGTATACACGCATATATTATGTAAACAAGAACTTTTATTTTGGATGCGATTAATCACGATTAATCGTTTGATAGCACTAATATATGTATATATGTACACACACACATATATATTAAGATATAGAATTAGAATAACTCCGGAAACCTCTATTGGAATTATGGAATTGATGCCAATGCAAGGTCGTAGTTTCTCATACAGTAATAATTGAACTTCTATAAACTGAACAAATTGCCCAGTTCATCAGCAGAATGATCATGTGGTCATTATGGTTCTCTCATCCTCTAAAAACTGCTTTTACCTGCTTTTCTCTGGACTGTGACTTTTGTTTTTGCTGTGCAGCTCACTTGGCCTCTTCTGCGTTGCCTTGGTAACCTGCTGGTCAGTGGAGGTGATGTAATGCCAGAGGACACTCGTCTCCTCGCCGCACTCTGTCTTTAGACCTTCACCCTCATCCTGCTCTGTCCAGAGAGAGCCTGTGGGCGCTCAACAACCTCACCGGTGAGCAGGACGTTAGCATGCATGTGCTCAAATTAATTAGCACCCCAATTATTCATCCCAATTAAAGCTCAAACGGAAATGAACGTGTTCTCACAATTATGACTGTCTTATGTCTTTTCAGCTGGCTCCAGTGGGTTCTGCTCTGGCCTGCTGCTTCTTAATATGGCTCCCATATTAATCCAGTTTCTGTCTTTCTCTAAAGGAATTAACTCAATGGTGAGGAACCAGCATGCATATATACATCAGTCTAACATAGCTACATTTTTGGGCTGCGACCCACTATGAGGTGTATGATCTTACACTGACCCATATTAAAGTACTTCTTAAAAAAAACATACGTGAAATATATTTGAGAATAATTTACTCTCCTGTTCAAAAGTTTGGGGTTTTATGATTTTTGTAAAACAAAAGAATATTTTAAATCGATTAAAAGTGACAGTAAAGACATTTATAATGTTCTAAAATATTTTTATTTCAAATAAATGCTGCTCTTTTAAACTTATTCATCAAAGTGTCCTGAAAAAATGTATCACGGTTTCAACATAAATATTAAGCAGCACAACTGTTTTCAACATTGATAATAATAATAATAATAATAAAGTTAATTAAACAACTAATTAGAATATTAGAATGATTTCTGAAGGATCATGTGACACTTTATAATATTCATGCAGTATAACACTTCTTGACTAAGGCTTTGGTGGGGTTTAAACCTCTTGAAATGAAAAGCTGTATAAAAGCTGATGGCTCTTTAATGCATTGCCGCTTCAGTGCTGAGAACCGTAGCCTGAAACCGCAACAAATAGCACAGTCTATATCGCCGCAGGCAAGAACATAATAGTAACAGCAATTATACTTGAGAAATGGGGTCTTTCAAGGACAGAAGATATGGTTAGGACAACAAGTGCTCTGTGTATCCATAGAAAACGTATATATATATATATATATATTTGATTAATATTTTTGTTATTAGTAGAAATATTTCTTATATTTTTTTTATACTTGTTTGACTGTATTTACTTAATATTATGGTGTTTATTTCATAGTAAATCACTGCTGATTGATTACTTGAATTTACTGTATTTTTTTTTTTTAAGTTTTATATTCCTGCTGCAGTAATTCTACTATACTCAGTCACTCACATCATATCAACATGTACATTTTGATAACATACACAGATACATTTTAGTTCTCACACAATTGTTGTTTGTACAAGGCACTGAAATTTCTGGGTAATATCGCCCATCATGGCACAGAATACTGTGTTGGTTTGACACAAGCGGGGCTGCTGACTGCCCTCTGTGCCACACTCAAGATGGCCGAGCCAGAGGTGGTCACCCTGAGCCTGGAAGTGCTGTACATGCTGGTATCCAGCAGCCCACAGGTGAATTGAGATCATTTAAGAATCCATTCTCGCTTCAAATAGTATTGTGATACTATTATAATTTTTATTAAAAAATTTTTTTTTCAGTTTTCATTTTAAATATTTTCCAATTTCATTTTATTTTGAAACTTTTAGTAATTTTGTCATTTTTATTACATTTTACATAAGAGCCCAAAACTTAAATTTTACATTTTTATTAAGTTTTACTTCAAAACAAAAATGTTTTGTTTTAATTTTAGTTAACGATAATAACCCTGCACTTAAAATCATTTTATATTGATCTTTGTACGAAACTTAATGACAGGCTTACTTAGAATGACTCAAAAAGCAAATTTAATGTAAGTCCTCCTTTTTGTAACAGGTGGTGGAGGAGTTTACGAGGTTAAATGGTGTTCCTCTGCTGGAAGCCATTCAATATAACAGTGAAGGAGAGCAACGTGTCAGAGCCGCCTACATTCTCGATCATCACTTCCTTTCTTTTTCTGAGGTCAATATTGCATTTACCTGCTATTATTTATGGACATATTATATGTGAAGAATCACCATGACCATTTTCTTTTTTTTTTTTTTTTGTTTAAAGGTGGAGAGCCTTTCATCATCTGCTGGAAGCCATTCAATATAACAGTGAAGGAGAGCAACGTGTCAGAGCCGCCTACATTCTCGATCATCACTTCCTTTCTTTTTCTGAGGTCAATATTGCATTTACCTGCTATTATTTATGGACATATTATATGTGAAGAATCCCCCTGGCCCTTTTTTTTTTTTTTTTTTTTTGTTTAAAGGTGGAGAGCCTTTCATCATAGCACGTCCAATGACAGAATTGCAAAGATTAGTCTTTGAAAAGATTTTCGATTTTCTTCAAAGCAAACTGTATGGACCTTTTAGCACTTAGTTATTCTTTCATTCTTGTTTTCTGAATTGTACAGAAAATAAATGCCTTTTTTTACTGCACATATGAAGCATGTTCATGTGTTTTTGCTGCTGATCCGACAGACCAGTGCATGCACAGAACAGCATTTTAATGGTTTTATAAGTATAGTGAATATATATGAATGTTGCCATTTCTTCAACAACAACAAAAAATCACTACAGGGGATACACAATCCTCACATTAAAGTGACAACAACACAAAACATGTCTAATATGTTTGCAATACTAAAATGTTTATGTTTATTATTTATTATGCGTATAAATGTAAGTGAATGTTTATTTAAGATGCGATTTATTCTGAAGTTACTCCACTATTTCTCTTAAATACATAAAGGTCCAAAAAAAGTCCTTGTTTTATTTTATGCTGTCAAAAAGTCCAACTGGAATCTATGACCAATAAATAAGTGAATTCTCCCTTATTACTATAGAATAACAGTGAAGAAGAGCAACCAATACATAATAAGTGAATTCTGTAGTGAATTTTCATATTAAATAATAATTAATATGAATATTAATGCGTCTAGTTCTCTCCAAAATGTACAATTGTATTGTAGCAATATCATTATATTATTAATGTAAATATAGGGTTACCCATTGAAAACAGGTAAACCGCTGCTGTATGTC